TGAGGAACGCCTGGTGAGTGCAGATTGTTCAGCACAAGCACTAGTGGCATTCTCAGTGGCAGATCAACCATGGAGTGAGATAGTCCCAAAATAAGGACCACAGAAGTTGGTCACCTGTCTATGTCAGGTTTTGTAAATAACAGAGGAAGATAGGAGGAAAACAAAACTTAATGAAGGTAATCAAACACTTATTAATGAACACTCAAAAAATGAAGACTTACATTCAGTTGTGTAATTGATAGAGAAACGTACGCTGTAAAAAGCTAAACAATCATTCTTCTTCCCCACTCCCCTCCACCATCCAGCTCTTTTCCTAAGGAATCGTTTTGTGTGTTTTTTTTTTTTTTCTCTGAAGCCCTATTAGGTATACATAGATACAAGACATTCAAGAAAACTGTAATTCTTTGCTTAATAATTCCAGGATCAGAAAGGGAATAATACAGCCAACACAAAAAGAAAAGGAAAAAAATTGTTAATTTTTTTTTACTGGTGTAATATCTCTGTAACATTTAATCTGTATCTACACTAAAAGTAGATGTAGAACATCACCCTGAAGGTATCTCTTGCTGTCAGTGGATGATGAATGTCAGCCTTGACAGGTATCCTCAGGTGATGTTGTAAAGGTGTGTGTGGCTAATTTTAAGCAAAACTGTCCATACTTTTGTCTTGTCTTGTTGGAATATTCCTACTTTCTCCCTAGAGTCTGTCACTTTTGTTGTCATCCTTAAGCTGAGAAATATCTTGTAAAATCTTGTTTTCTGGTTTTAATTGTTTTTCCTCTTGCTAACTTCTAAAAGCCTCTTGCCTTAAAAGCCATCTGCCTTAAAAGATACATGATATTTTTACTGCTGCTGTAAAAGAAATTGCTTTTTTTGGTGATAAAGTTCATAAATTCCAGTTACCGCGAACTTTGGATGCTGTGTGTCTTGTATACTTTTAAGCACCGGATCCTGCAGAGACTGCTCATGACTTGTTCTGTGACTTTCTATGGAACTATTTAATTGCCAAGCTTAAGCACATGCTTCAGTTCTTGCAGGGTGCAAGTCCAGGTCTCTTTTGAAAAGCTTGCTGGTAGGGATGCTTGCCAGCACTGTGGGATCCCTGAGAGAGAGAGCCGGAGCTGGTATTTTTGCTTGATTCTGTCTGCCAGCTTCCTGTCTCCCATACAAAACAAGCAACTAACATGCTATGGATGATACGTGGAGAGGAAAAATAAATCAGATAAATAAATAGAACCTGAAGAGTCTGCTAAATGGATTCTGTTGATGTTTTGCCATTCAACAAATAAAGAATGCCAGTAAAACTTGTGCTGTCATTTAATCATACACGTTTTCACCTGACCATGGAGTGTCTTGTCTAAGTAGTTACGCTATGTCTTGCCAAAATCTTCTGAACAAAAACTAAATGGAAGTGGCCATGTTAGCTGTGTTTTGCGTTTGACTGGATTTTTTTTTAATGGGACAGCCTCTCTCATAATTATGTAATTATATGTGACTATATCAACAATTGTGACAGAAATGCCCATGAAGTATGGGTGTAGTAATATGGAAGATGAAGCAATCCAAAGGAAGACAAGTTCATCACACTGTCAGCAATTTTAAGAAAAGTCTTGTGTGATGTAATAGAGAATTAGAACATTTTTCATGATGCCAGTCCTACTTATGACTGAGAGAGGCATCAGCAAAATGTGAACACCAAAAAAGTCTCAGAAATGTACGTCAAGACTTAGGAGGACTTAAATAAGCAAAACATGGGGGAAAAGGATTTGGAAACACAGAAGTATTTTAAATAGGGGCTGAAATAGTTTATCTGTTCATGTTACGAATGACCCCCTGTTTTACAGGAAAGAAGAGAGGGCATAGGGGATAGAATATATAGCTTGACATGCTTAAGGGACAGGGGGCTTCCAGGCCATGCCATAAAAGTAAAGTTTGAAGTCAGTCTGTGACCTCAGTCCTTCCATCAGTGGGGTGAAATCAGGAGATTTTTTGCTGTTGATAATTGCAGAGATTCACTCCGAGTGACTGTATGTCTTTCTGTGCTAAATGGTGCCTGTGTAACAGCCAGGACCTGACTTACTCTGTCTTAGATCTCCTAAATGCTTGTGCAGCTGACACAGTGATGACCCATCTTGCTAAAAAGCCTCTTTATAGTAGAACTGCTGCTCAGGGTGACGACTAAGGTAAAATGGTTCACGATTTAAGAAAACAACCTAATGAACATCACTTGAATTCCTGGAGCTAAGCATACGTTTTCTATTTCAGCACTACTGTGCAGTGAGCTTTGGTTAGTTTATTTTAGGGGTAACTGGGTGTTCAGTACGTAGCCCTTCATGCATGCAAAACAAAAATTGATCTGGGCAGTAGTAAAGAGACATAACACACTGAGAGCCCCTTTGGGGTTTGCAAGGTTACCAGTGCCTAGGCTCTGTGCTGCCTTGCCAAGCTCAGCATGGAGCGTAGGCAGGGCCTCAGGGATCATGGAGAACACATGTAAATACACCGTGAGGTCACTTAGTCCTGTGAAGTTTTCTCTTGCTCATCTTTCAAAGGGCAGTAGGCAGAGAGGTGCCAGCTGAAGGCGATGCTGTTGTTGACATAGCCTGGAGACTTCAGCTGAGCTTTGTAAAGGAGGGTCTTGGAGCACCCTTCAAACATCACTTTCACACTAACAAGGCAGAAGGCTGCCAGTAATCTCAACTTACTTAGGTCTGACAGTAGACAGAAGCCATATGATTAGCTCAGCTAGTAAAGTCAGTGATAAGGGCTGGAGTAGCTGACTCCCCGTTGTACTTCTAGCGCATTTATCCTGCTCAGAAATAGCCCGTGTACTTTATTGACTACAGTGATAGGCAGGTCTCTGTCATTTAGCAAACTGGGACCTAATGAATCTCTACTACCCACCAGAACTGAAGTTCCTGCTTGAACAGTAATTCAGCTACTTTGTCAATTTGTGTCCGAAAATACCGCAAACAAAAGCAAATGGCGGTTTAGCAATTTAG